AAATATGGATTAGGGAAATGGGCAGAGTTTTTCCCACGGGCCTGAAAGGCCACATCTGACCTTTCTACCTCCTTTATGTACCAACGTGACAGTCAGAGAGAGCAAAGAGCAGGACCCCCTGAAACGCCTCCCCATGGCCTTCTGACTTGGGGAAACTTTTCACCCTCCTCCTTCCCCTGGCCCCAGACCAGGTCACAGCCCCTCCTGGGCCCTGTCCTGGGGATGATGAGGAAGCTGGTTTTCAGGTGGACATCAAGAGCTTCCAGTGGCAGTGTCCAGCTCAGGCCCTGCCAGTCATCCTGGCACCGAGCCAGGTGGTGAGGCCGTACCACTGTGTCGAGGTCCTCCTGCTTCCTGAGCCAGTCATAGTTCCAATTGTACCCTCCTGCCCCTTAGACTGCAGCCTCCTCCAGTCCCTTGTCCACCCCTTTTCTACCTTCTGAATTTATTTCCCTCTTCACCATCCCCCTATTTTCCCTTTCTCTCTTCTCAGGAGTGGTCCCTTCTTCCCCAGTCCCCCATGCAGCTGAGAAGACTTGTGGCTGCTGTGTTCCCGCAGCAAGGATGGCAGGGAGCTCTGTGAAGGAGGGAGGGTGGGCGGTGATCTCGCTCCCTGGTGCCCTGGCTTGCTGCTGGCCGCTGGCCTGGGGTGGGGATAGGCCAGTCTGAAAGGAGTCAGTGTGGAGAGAGGAAAAGCAAACACCAACACCGCAATGTGGGCCCCACCGGCCTGGGGGTGCGGTGGGGGAATGGAGCAGGGGCCTGGGTCTTCTTAGCCTTTCCATCGGCCCTCTCCCTACTCCTGAGTAGTGCCTCCTTGGACCCTTGGCATGGTGTCCACAGGAGAGTGGGGCTAGGGTTTGGTGATAAGCCTTCTAGGAGACACCCTCACTCAAATCTTTCCCTGTCCCTCACCCACCCCCAGGCCAGTGCCCTTCCTGTCCAAAGATGCCAGGAAAATCTGGGCCTGGGAAGGGCTGGCCCAGTACCTGAGGGCTGCCTGACTGGCTCTCCTCAGCCACAGGAACTGGGCAGGCAGTCACCTTGTGCTAGAGACACCCCAGCAGTGCCATCCACCTCCAGGGCAGAGGGGAACCCCAAGATGCTCTCCCCAGGTAAGTGCCCCTCTGGCCACAGCCAGGAAGTGAGGGAGGGAGAGGCTGACCTTGATGGGTTTCCTCAGGACACCCCACAAGCTCTGAGTCCCAAGATATGTGGCATTTTCTGTTGGACTATCTTATCCTCTGTCTGTGGCTCGTGTGTCACTCACAGGTGTTTTGGTGCAGGGAGCTGAAAGGATGTTTGGAGAATCTAGAGGAAAACCCTGGGAATGAGGGGAGGTGGGAGGGACTGGAGCCTAGGTTGTAGGACTCCTGGATTCCAAGCCACTTTTTTTTTTTTGAGATGGATTCTCACCATGTTGCTGAGGCTGGCTTTGAACTTCTGAATTCCAGTGTTCCTTCTGCCTTAGCCTTTCTGATAGCTGGGACTGTAGTCACAGCACTCTGCCAAAACTGACTTTGATTAGACTTGGCGAAATCAGAGGCTGCTTTAACACTTTGGAATCTAAAAGACTTTTGGAATGAACTCAGAAAGTTCATCCTAGATGAACAGCAAATCAGTGGATGTGGTGTTCAAACCAGTCAGGCCCCTTTACACACTGAGGCCAGTACCGTTTGTGCTGTGGTCATCACCCCTGGCCACCTTTATCCCTCCCTTTCCAGACAGTTTTGCCCTTTTGGACTTAGGAGGCTGGTTGCTCTGGGCGTGGTGGTGCACATCTGTGGTCCCAGTGACTTGGCAGGCTGAGGCAGAAGGATCACAACTTACAGAGACGCTGTCCCAAAATAAATAAATAAATAAAGGGGGGTTGGGATGTATCTCAGTAGTAGAGCACTCCTGGATTCAATCCCCAGTGTCACAGGAAAGAAAGAAAAATAATAAGGGCTGGTTGTGGGTAGAAGAGGAGCAGGGTCTGAACAGCACCTCAGGTCCCCTCCCTTTCTGTCCCTGCCCTGGCACCGTAACATGGAAGGAGCTGGAAGCCAGAGCAATCACTGCTGTGCCTCAGAGTAGCTAGTCTCCTCTGATCCTCCCTGGGAATTCAGGGTTGGCCTTTGCTTACAAATCCCAGAGAACAGGGACCTCTTTGCTCTGGGTGTCTAACCATGACTGCATGCTACAGGGCCCCAGAGGTGCCCACTGTGAAGTGTCCCAGCCTGTGGGACCCAACTTGGGAGGATCGTGCCAAGTAGAAACAGGGTGTCCACATTGTGTCAAACTCTGCTCGGAGGTCTTCCTGTACCTCCCTGAAAAGTCACCACAGTCCTACAAGTTGGGTTCAGTTTTATAGACTAGAAAACCATGGCACAGAGGGTTGAAGTAACCTGTTCATGGATACACAGCCAGGAAAAGTCAGAGCTGGAATTCCAGCTCACAGCCGGGCTGGCTCCAGAGCCCCAAGCTCTTAAATGTTCTTCTGCATGGCCTCTAATTCCTCAGAGGCCTGCACTGGGGGTTACTGTGTCCAGTCCACTGAGTCTGGGTGTCCACCCTGGCCAATCTCTGGGCACAGACAAGAACCAATCTAGTTTTTAAAGGCACCTGCTCCAAGGGTGGAATTCCCCCTGGGGGTAATCAGACATTTATTTATTCATAGCCTTCTGGCTGGGAGGGGAGGCCCTCCCACCCGGAACTCTCTAGTCTCAGCTGCCTCCATGCTCCTGTCCTTCCCACTGGAGTATAATCAGGAGTAAAGCAGCCTGGCCATGACAGCCTCCAAGCTGGGACCCTGGACAAGTGACTCAACTTTTTTTTGGGGGGGTGGGGTGGGGGAGGGAGTTACCAGGGATTGAACTCAGGGGCACTCCACCACTGAGCCACATCCCCAGCCCTATTTTGAATTTTATTTAGAGACAGGGTCTCACTGAGTTGCTTAGTGCCTTGCTTTTGCTAAGGCTGGCTTTGAACTCGTGATCTTCCTGCCTCAGCCTTCCAAGCTGCTGGGATTACAGGCAAGCACCAGTGCACCCAGCATGACTCAACTTTTTTGAGTCTCATTTTATCAAGGTTAATTTCTACCTGCTTGTGAAGTGCATGAGGTTTAAATGATTAAAGGGACTGAAGGCTAGACAGGGTTGTCCTATCAGCATAGTGCCAGCACCTAGGAAGTACCCAGATAAAGTGGAGTATATGTCCTTTCACCAACGTCATCATCCCATGATCTTGCTCTGGTTTTTTTTTTTTTTTTTTTTTTTTTTGGTGGGGGGGAGACAGATTTCATGTTGCCCAGACTGGTCTCAAACTCCTGGGTACAAGGGATCCTCCCACCTCTGCCTCCTGAATAGCTGGGACTACAGGCACTTGCCACTTGCCCAGCCATCATTATTGAAATCCTTCTGCCCACAAGATCAGAATCTCCTGCTTTAGTCTTGTACTTGAGCCTTATTACAGAAAGGGAAACTGAGGCCACGGTGAGGAAGGACTTGCTCAGGGTCACACCGCAAACTGGTGATGGAGTGGGAAGTGGCTATTATGACATAGTTGGATCCCACTCTTTTTTCACCTCCTGCCCACCTCAGGTTATCCCCCATTGTGCCCTGAGTCCATAGCCTGGTACCCAGTTTAGCCTAGGCAGAACCCAGGAGAGAAATGGGCAGCGGTTGGTGGAATCGACACTGAGGCCTGCTCGTTCTCAGCCCTGGCTCTTTGTCTGCTGCTTTGTGATGGTAAGTGCTGCTCCTAAATCAGTTCTGTGACACTGTTATTGTTGCCCAGGGCGCAAAGAGTCTAAACTTTTCCCCTGAGGTCAAGAATGTGGCCGGTCCCCAAGCCGCCCAGCGTAAGGCCTGGGTGGCTGGGGGTGGGGCTGGGGCCTCACCCCGAGCTGGGGCGAGATGTGGGGGGGAGGGGGGTCAGTGGGAACAAAACGCTTTGAAATGCCTCCTCTCCATCACTGCCAACATTGTCCGCTGCCCGCGGGGGGCCTGGCACCGCCTCCCGGGGCTCCGGCCCCCAGCCCTGGCCAGGCCCGGCCGCATCTGAAAATGGACAGAAGGTTATTGTCCCTTCCCGCAGCCCTTTGTCTGCCCCAGTTCCAGATGTCTAGGCTGGGACCAGGGAACTGACCCATGGTGGGCAGGGGGGAGGGGACAAAGGGGAAGAGCACGGGTCACTGCATCCTGAGGGGTCGTTCCCAGACCCTGAGATCCCACCCAGCCCCAGTCAAGTCACCTTCTGGGCTGTCTTATCCCTCAGATTGTCCCTATTCCCTTGCCCTTTCCCCAGACCAGGTTCTGGCCTCAGGAGAGAAGGCACAGGGAGACAGAGTTAGAACAGGCGGCCTTGGGAGATCCAGCAGATGGGCTGAATTTCAACTCTCCCCAGGTGACTGGTAACTGTGATCTTGGGCACATTGTGGTCCTCTTCCAGCCTGCTTTCCCCTGGACCAGGCTTCACTCACATATTAGGACAGGGCACCCCCCATGTACCCACTCTGTGCTGACCATGGAGGTGCTCCTTGGTGGCACTCAGATCCTTCCAGATTGTGGTTAACGGTTACTCTAGCTTTCCCACCACACCTTCTGTGTTGGGTCCTGGACTAACCACTTGCATTTTCTTATCCTTTCCACAACAAAATCAGGGATGCAGTACCCTTGTTCTTTTCTCCATTTTCCAGTTTTGGAGACTGAGAGATTGAGAAAGAAAGTCCCTTGCCCAAAGGAGGTGCTGAGCTGGAATTCTAGCCCAGGCTGACCGCAGCCACCAGGAGTAATCCACTAATAAATACTTGGAAGGTGTTGCGCACAGCTCCTGGCACAGCGCCCAACTCAACATCTGGGAACTGGTGGGGTGTTAACTCCATCCACTGGTTTCCCCATTTCTCAGAGGCCCAGACTAGGAAAAGAGAGCCAGGGTCAGAGGGCTCAGGGAACCTTAAACAGCAATACCTGGTGTGTGTGCGTGGTGGTTGGGGGGGGGGTGATTCCAGAGCCATCAGGATTGGCCAGATAAGCAGGTTTCAAACCCTACTCGCTGTGAGCTATGACTTAGACTCTCTATATTTTGGTTTCCTCGTTTCCTCTTCTGGAAAGTAAATATGTTCCCCACATCATGAGGTTGTTGGGAAAAGGAAATCAGGTGATCCATCTTAAGCACTCAGCACAATGGCTGCCACACATCAAACAGTTAAGGGTGGGTATTAGTACTATAATTATTCTGATAAAATTTGATGGCCCTTTGAACCTCCGCATCACCTGGGTTCACCTGAGGACAAGGCTCTGTGTGAGTAGCAAGTTAGCAGTTGTTGGGGGGGCGGGGGATAAGATACTCCATCTTCTTGGAGTCCTTAAAAGTCCTTGGGACAGGATACTCTGTGGGTTTGGGGAAGGCAAAAAGGATGAGGCCAGGAGGAAGAAGGGCCGCCTGGGCTGGAGGAGTTAACAGCTCCCAGGCCCTGGCCCAGCAGGGCTGCCACGCTGCAGCAGAGCAACGATTTTAGCAGAGGAGCCAGGGCTACTTCCTGATGGGCAAAACAGCTGGTTGCCCAGGGAAAACAGCTGGCCTGGTCCCAGCCTCCTGAGAGCAAGGCAGAGCCTCAGAAGAGGACAGCTCCTCATCTGGGGTCCTGAAGGAGGAGGGCATGACCAAGAGGGAGAGGGTAGTCCTTCAGGATGTGTGTGGGTGTTGGGTGGACCCCTGGAGATGAGAGGGGTGTGAGCAGATTCCAAGAGCAAAGGAAGGATATGCTGACTCTAAACAGTCAGGGCAGGGGTGCCTCCAGATGGGATTCAGGGGTCTCAGTTTTCCCTCAAATAGGGAACATGAGGGACAGGGTTGCATATGGAAGACAAGCCTCTGCTCAGTCCTCTTGGAAGTGGGCTTGGAACCAGAGGTGGGGAGGGGGCCCAGGCTGGGCTCTCAGATTCCCATCAGCTGAGCTGCACCAGGAGCAGGGCCAGGGGCCCATCCTCTGACCAGGATCCTGGGCTTCCTTGGTCACAAAGCAGGACGCGACCCAGAGAGCCCCCAACTCAGGAGCTGTGAAGCTGGCAACTGGTAAGAGCTCTATCCAAGCATCCTCCCTGCTTTGGGTCCCCATTCCTAGCCTGCTTCGCTACCAGGTCATGAGAACTCCCAACCAGAGTGCCTCTCCGGCTCTGGGGCACCTCCAGGTTGTTCCTTCTCATTAGCAAGCGATACCTGGGACCTCAAATGAGGTTGGGCAAGGTAGGAAGATGGCTAATGGGGGAGTGGCCAGACCCCATTTAGCCTGAGCTGCCTACCTGGGCCACTGACCTCCAAGTCCCAGCAGCCTGGCACCCCTATTTTCTCTCTGACCAAGGGGGTTCTTCTAGCCTATCTACTTAACCCTCAGGTAAGGGCTGGCCCCCAATTTGGGTGTGCCAGCCTTAGTACCCCTCTCTCTGGTAAAGGCCAGACTGTAAAACCTCTGCCAGTTAGTAGCAGACCTTGGAACTCAGGCTCCCAGCCCCATGTGGGTCTTGGGGAGGGGGCCAGTTCTCTCAGGGTCTCTAGCTTATGAAGCCAGAGTGAAGCCTGAGGTGCTGGCGCCACCATCTGGTTTGGTCCAGAACTGAAATGAGTTTTGGAGGGGCGGAAACTGAACCCAACTAGGGGTGGATAGGTCTGTTTTTTGTTTTTGTTTTTAATATTTATTTTTTAGTTTTTTGGTGAACACAATATCATTATTTTATTTTTATATGGTGCTGAGGATCAAACCCAGTGCCTCATACATGCTATAGGCAAGCGCTCTACCACTGAGCCACTACCTCAGGCGCGATAGGTCTGGTTTGGATCCTGCTCAGCAGGGTGGACCCCAACAATCATTTTTTTTTAATATTTATTGTTTAGTTTTCGGCAGACAAAACATCTTTATTTGTATGTGGTGCTGAGGATCGAACCCAGCGCTGCACGTATGCCAGGCGAGCACGCTACCGTTTCAGCCACATCCCTAGCCCCCAACAATCATTTTTTTCCCCAGGCGTGTACCCAACATAACCTGGATGAGGACTTAGGCCTCATAGATCAGCAATTGCAAACTTTAGTCTGAATCAGAATTACCTGAAAGGTTTTTTAAAACATTGCCGAGGGCCCGGGGTATAACTCAGTGAAAGAGCACTTTTATAGCATGTGCAAAACCCTGGGTTCAACCCCCAGTATCCCACATACGAAAAAAAACAGATTGCTTGGCATCCACTCAAAGATCCTGATTCTCTAGGCATGGGATGGGGACTAGAATTTGCATTTCCAACAGTTTCCAGATGGGGCTGATGGGTCCATGCTTTGACAACTACCATAGCTTTTGAGTTTCTGTGAATTTGACTAATGTTACTCTCGAAGGGTATATTCTTATGACTATTTTGCAGAACAAATAAATGAGCATTAGGGCTGGGGATATGGCTCAGGCGGTAGCGTGCTCGCCTGGCATGCGTGCGGCCGATAACTAAAAAATAAATATTAAAAATTCTCTCTCTCTCTCTCTCTCTCTCTCTCTCTCTCTCACACACACACACACACTCTCTCTCTCTCTCTCTCTCTCTCTCTCTCTCTCTCTCTCTCTTTAAAAAACAAAAACAAAAAAACCAACAAATAAATGAGCATTAAATGAGACTACAGGCACTTGAGTAGCTCACCTCCATTCATGACCCAATTGTTTTTTCTCTTTTTTGTACTGGGGATTGAAACCAAGGGGCACTTTACCACTAAGCCACATCTCCATCCCTTTTTATTTTTTATATTGAGACAGGGTATCACTAAGTTGCTAAGGGCCTCACTAAGTTGCTAAGGCTGGCCTTGAACTTGTGATCCTCCTGCCTTAGCCTCCCAAGTTGCTGGGATTACAGGCATGTGCCACTGTCCCTGACCTCAATCAACCATATGTCTATGGAGAGCCTACCTGATGCCCTGTGCCCATGGGTCCTGCACCAGGGGTAGGGATGGGATGGTGAATGTGGAGGATGGTCCCTGATGTAAAACTCAGAGCCAGATGAGTCTGTCATGAGCTTTCTCAACTAGAGTTCCAAAGGCAACACAAAATAAGGTCCAAAACAATGCTGGGTTTTCACATTCCACTTGCCTTTTCTGGGTCCTCTCCATTTAGTAACTAACCCACCATATTCAAGCTAGTGACAATGGCCATCCTGATTTCTTGCTCTGTCATCCACATCCAATCCCACAGGGCCTGTGGGCTCTGCCTCCACCATACATCTTAGCTCCACCCACCAGAATCATCTCTCTGTGAACTGGGATCTCCCAGGTTTCATCTCTGCCCCCAGGTCCATCTCCTTTTTTCTTTTTTCTTTAATTTATTTTTAGGTGTAGATGGACACAACACAATGCCTTTATTTTTATGTGGTGCTGAGGATTGAACTCGGGTCCCGCCTGTGCTAGGCAAGCGCTCTACTGCTGAGCCACAATCCCAGCCCCCAGGTCCATCTTCTGAGTAGTAGTTAGAGCAGTTTTTTTAAAAGTAAATCACATAATTCCTCTGCTGACTTGCTCATTGTCTTCCTAGCTATTGGACTTTAAAAAAAAATCTAGGAGCTAGAGTAAATCACAAATTTTGCATGCATGAGGCTCTAGTTCCATTCCCAGCACTGCAGGGAAAAAAATTCAAAATCCTGTCCTGGTTTCAAGGCCCTGGGTAGCCAGGCTAAGTCCACCCAGTGGATCTCCCATTTTCCCACATTACCCTGCTGCCTTGCTCCAGCCACACTGGCTTTCTTGCCTGCTCCACCTCAGGACTTTTGCACCACCTCTCCCTCCATATGGAACACTTTTCTTCAGATCTTCCTTTGATCCACTCCTCCTTATACTCCAAAATGTCTTCCAGATCTTTCTGGGTGTTGTCCCACTTCCAGCTACTCTCTGTTCTTATTCAGTTGTTCTAATTTGTTTATACTACCTACCATTCCTTGAACTTATTTATTTATGGGTTTGTCTGTCTCCTGTCTATCTACCCTCATGAACATCCTAACAGCAGAGACTATGTCTGTCTTTTTTTTTTTTTTAATTTTTTTTCGATGTATGGACCTGTATTTTATCCATTTATTTACATTCGATGCTGAGAATCAAACCCAGGGCCTCACACATGTTAGGCAAGTGCTCTTACCACTGAGCCACAACTCCAGCCCCTTATGTCTGTCTTTTGCACCTCAGAACCCACAGGACCTCGAGTTCTCTGTGCACTCAGCACATGCTCAGTAAATATCTGCTGAGTGGATGGAGTAGGAGGCTATGTAGGGGTATGCCCCCCAGACATCGCAGCAAGGAAGGCTTTCCAGAGGAAGGAAGTGCAGCTGAGACTGCAGGGCCTTAGTGCAGGAGTCACCCTGGAAGGGAAAGGCCAGTCCATACAGAAGGACCTAGAAAACAACAACAGAAAAGGGATATAGGAAGGTCCAAAGTGTGGAGCATTCTGGAAACTGTAAATTGTTCAATTTGACTGGGGTAGAAGCTGGGCAGGGTCAGAAATCAGAGGAGCTGGAGAAGTAGAAGGCAGGACACTTGGCCTTATTACTCCCTGAAGAATTGGAGCTCCGTGGCAGTGGGAACAGTGTCCTGGCGGGCATTTTAGAATGGGCTGCTGAGTGCAGAATGCTTTCTTTTTTTTTATTTTTTATTTTTTTTATTTTTATTTTTTTTAATATTTATTTATTTATTTTAGTTTTTCGGCGGACACAACATCTTTGTTTGTATGTGGTGCAGAGGATCGAACCCGGGCCGCACGCATGCCAGGCGAGCGTGCTACCGCTTGAGCCACATCCCCAGCCCTGCAGAATGCTTTCTATGAAGAAAGCTTGGTGGTGGTCCTGGGGTGCTGGGAGGTGCAGTGCCCAGGTGAGTGATGTCAGTGCCCTGAGCCAGGTAGGTGGTGATGCAGAAGGAAGGACGTGGCCACGTGTGCAGGAGACATTGAGGAGCAGCCTGGCCAGGGCTGAATGGGGGAGTCAGAGTCCAAGTCTCAACCTGCAGGGACTCTGTGGACAGACGTGCTGTTCCCTGGAGGTAGGGAGGAAAGAGCAGGTTTTGGGAAAGACTGGGGTTCTGTGTTGGATTGGTCGAGTGAGTTGGGTCCAGGTGGAAAGTTGTACAGTTTAGGGTTCCAGAAAGAGGGAGTGGTTCGTGCAGTCGGCCACAAAGGGAGGCTGCACCCTCTTGGATGACATATGAAGAGGAAGTGTCCACTGGGGGAGTGGCTGGAGGACGCTGGACTCTAGCAGCCTTGGCTTGGGTCAAGCAGTGAACGGAAGTGAAACCAGAAGTGGAGTGCAGATTTCTCTGTCAAGAAGTTTGGAGGGAGAGCAACAGTGCTGCTGCTGGGAGCCTCACAGATGCCTTAGTGTTTTCTTATTTGAAGTTGGAAAGGATTCAAGTCCTTTGGAATTTGGAAGGAAGGATCCAGAAGAGAGGGAGGTTGGCAATACAGGTAGGGCAAGGGGATGGCATGGAGCCCAGGTGGTTGAGGAAGGGAGCCTCTTCCTTTGTAACAGGCAAGGAAAGCAGAATCCAGCTTGGATGCCAGGGGGCTGGGAATGAGAGTTCCCAGGCAATGGCTTCTATTTTCTCCAAAAAGTGGCAGGGGGAGATCCCTGGATGGTTCTGGAAACTGTGAATTGGCCATAGAGTGGGGACCTTGGAAGACTGGGGGCATTTGAAATGCCACTGAGGGGAATGGGCAGGGAGCACAGGAAACAGGGCTGCTGGCATGAGTGAGAGCCCATCTGAGGGTGGAGATCAGCAATCTGCAGTGGCTCCAACCTGGCCTTCAGCAAGATGGCTATAGGGTTTTTCCAGACAGAGGTGACAGGAAAATCCTATGGGCTGGAAGTCAGTGATAACTGGTGACTGGGCACCGGGAAGGTAAGAAGGGAAGAAATAGAAAGGTCAGTGCACTGGGTGGGAGGAGAGGACTCCATGCCAGGGAAGAATCTGGAAGTCCCCATCTTAGTTCATTGGGCTGTTATAACAAAATGCATTATTTATTTATTTTTGCAGTGCTGGGGATTAAATCTAGGACACTGTGCGCGTTAAGCATCCCCAGCCCTAGACTGGGTAATTTATAAACAGGAATTTATTGCTCACAGTTCTAGAGGCTGGGAAGTTCAAGGTCAAGGTGCCAGCAGATTTGGTGTCTGGTGAGGTTCTGTTCCTCAGAGTGGTGCCTTTTAGTCATGTACTCTTTTGTTAGGAGTGGGGAACAACCTTTTTCAGGCCTCTCTCTTTTGAAAAAAAATTTATTAAAACAAAAATTTTTTTTGGCAGGGCCTAATACATGCTGGGTTTTAGGACTCAATCTCTCAGTCTCTCTCTCTCTCTCTCTCTGGTACCAGAAATTGAACTCAGGGAGACTCAGTTACTGAGCCACATCCCCAGCCCTATTTTGTATTCTATTAGAGACAGGGTCTCACTGAATTGCTAAGCGCCTTGCTGTTGCTAAGGCTAGCTTTGAACTTATGATCCTCCTGTCTCAGCCTCCTGAGCTGCTGGGATTACAGGTGGGCGCCACCACACCCTGCTCAGGTCTCTTTTTTAAGGAGAAAACCCTCATGATCTAATCATCTTTCAAAGGTTACCTCTCTTTTTCTTTATTTTTTAAATTTTGCAGTAATGGGGACAAAACCCAGGGTGCTCTACCCCATGCTACTCTCCAGCCCTCCCTCCCCACCTTTTTAGACAGGGTCTTGCTAAATTGCTGAGGCCAGCCTTGAATTTGCAATTCTCCTGCCTTAACCTGGCAAGTTGCTGGGTTTACAGGCATGTGCCACCACACCTGGTCCTGAAGACTTTTAATACCAAAGATGTCAGTCACTAGGTTTTTTTTTTTTAATATTTATTATTTTTTTTTAGTTCTCGGCGGACACAACATCTTTGTTTGTATGTGGTGCTGAGGATCGAACCCGGGTCGCACGCATGCCAGGCGAGCATGCTACCGCTTGAGCCACATCCCTAGCCCCAGTCACTAGGTTTTAACATGAGTGTTGGGGTTCAGGAACATTCAGACTATATCACCCCCTGGACCAATAGGGATGGGCAGAGGGTCTAGGGTGGGGAAGTGACAGGGACATTGTTTGACTTTAAAAAGGGAATCCTGGGACCTGGAGTGCCTTCCAGCCAGAGGCTACCATATAAGGGAGGGGTCCCAAGATGCTTTCATGGGACCTAGATCCCTTCTCTGGCCCTTCTCACTTTAGGGCCACTGGCCTGGAAATGGCCCAGCTGGAATTTGAAACACTGGAAGCTGTAACACTGGAAGCTGTAACTGGAGCCTTTGGAGCCAGGCCTTGGACCAGGATGCCAGAGTTCAACATGCTCCCCACCACCAACACGCTCACCCTTAGGTAAGCCCATTCTTTGCATGGTCCCACCCAGCCCCTGCCCGTGGGGATAGCATGCACCAGTCCAATTCCCCTTCCTGACCCTGGAAATAGGCTAAGAGTGTTCATATGGGAATAGGGAGGGTGAATAAAGGGGACCTCTTTTCTCCAGCTCTTCCTTCCACTTCTGAGCTTTTCGGAAGTAGGACTTCATGCCAAGAGCTTCAAGTGCATTCATTCTTTGAAGGAAACTCTCATCAGTTGGATGGCGCCCCATCAAACTCAGAACTTCCCGCGCTCCAGGCAAGTAAGTACTCCACTACTAAGCTACATCCCCCAGCTCGCATCAGCCGGTTTTGCCGCTCAGGATCCTTGAGGCTCCTGTCCCTCTCCCAGAGGAGACTGGAGACTCCCTTCCATCCCAGCAGGGTCCTAGGATCTGGCTCTGCCCCAGGGAGGCTGTATCTCCTGCTTTGGAAGGGGGCTGGGTCACCATTAGGGGTTCTGTAGTGCCCTATACTAGACTCAGTCTGAGTGGACTTTTGCTCTCTTAAAGAGCGGAAGCAGTGCTGGTGCCGGCGACCACGGCGAGGACTGGACATGTGGGGGCGCCAGGCGCAGAACGCTGTGGGAAGGCGCACCCAGGTCAGGGGGACTCCGACCCCGCCCCTAGAGCAGAGGCTTCCTCTCCGGCCCTCACGTCTCCTCGCGCTTCTGCGAGTTCGCGCCTGGGCCCGCCAGAGGGCGCCCGGGGCGGAGGAGGAGCGGGAGCCGGGGCGCCCCGGGAATGCCAGGCCGAGTGGGTCCCACAGCGTGGGTGCGGCTGAGGTCCGTGCGTCTGCCGGACTGCCAGGGAACTGGCATTCAGGGAAGTCCTAGTTCCAGGGGTTGAGCGCTCAGGGAACGGGCGTTCTCCGACACCTGGCCGCTCCAATGCAGTCACCCCGGATCCTCCCTGGCCCCTTTGGCCGCTCTGGGAGGGACTGTTGACGGGCTGCGACCTGGCCTCCAGCCTCGGTCTCCTGGTGCCGGGGTGGAGCGCAGGCTGAAGCACCCGCGCGCACCCCAGGCCCCTCCCCTCCCCTCCCCTCCGCTTCGCGGGCGAAGCTGCTGCAGCCGCCGAGCGCCCGCCATGGGCGTTATGCTCGCCGCCCGGCTGCTGGGACTGCTGCTCCTGCTAGGGCTGCGGCTCCAGGCTGCGGGCATCGCGGAGCCACCGCTGCCCACCGTGGTGCTTGCCATCCTGGCTCGAAATGCCGAGCACTCACTGCCCCACTACCTGGGCGCATTGGAGCGGCTGGACTACCCCCGGGCCAGGGTGGCCCTCTGGTGAGAGACCCCGGCGCAGGCATCGCTAGGCACCAAGCCCCAAGCCTCGCGATTCGCCCCTCAAGTCTCTGAGCATCCCGCCTAGGACCTCCATCATTTTGGGGGACAGGACAGGCCTCTGAGGCCATAGGTCGACCCACCCCTGCTTCCGGCCCCCTGCTCCTCCTCTTGGGGCCTCCTCTGGGTAATTTGGGTCCATCCCTTCTTGTCCCAGCCCACAGAGCCTAAGCTGAACCCCAGTGGGATCTGTTGTCGCTTGACTTGTGGTGGAGTGGACAGGAACCTCTGGAGTCCCTTGGAACCTAATGTGGCAGAGACCAGCCAAGCTGGAGGTTCCTGGGGAGCAGATGGGGTTGAGTCAGCCCTGGGCCCTATACTATGTGGAGAGTCAGGCTGGCTCCCTCCAGCCTATCTGGGTAGAGGGGTAGGTAAGTCCTGTCAGCCAAGGGCAGCATCCCCCTCCTGGGAGCCTCCCTCTGACATCCCCATAGGGCAGCACTGAGATCAGAGGCCACAGCCCCCAGTTTAAAGACCAGACAGGGAGGAGTCCCAAGCTGAGGTCAGGGATAAACTGAGAGAAATGACAAACTACCCCTCACAGCAAACCAAAGTTGGTCTGGGGTGGAGTCATGGCCTGCAAAGGCGGCCCACAGTCACAGTCTGGGAGTGAGTTAGTTCCCACCCCATAAGACTTGACACGTAGTTAGTCTTCACTTCTAGGGAATTGGCTTAAAGGGGCAGCATCATCTAAAAGCTTGGCTCTTGGCTAAGTCTACCACTTCTGGGTATGAGAGCCCCTTCCCCAGGAGACGGGAGGCTGTGCTCCATGGCAGCAGAGCTTTGGCCCATCAGCATTTCTCAGGGACACTCAGGGCATGGTTTAGTCCTCATTACAACCTGTGGGTGGAGGAAAGTAGCAGCTCTTTTGTCTAATTCTGATTCAGAGAGGAAAAGGGCCTGGCTAGTGGTCACAAGGCAAAGAAGGAAGGTAACTAGGGAATGTGGAACCTTAAAGCCATCCTTAAAAATGCACTCCCAGCAGCTCCAGAGGGAGGCTGAGGCAGGAGGATCACAAGTTCAAGACCTACCTCCACAACTTAGTGAAACCCTGTCTCAAAATAAAAAGGTGTGGGGATGTAGTTCAGTGACTGAGTACTCCCGGGGCTCAATCCCCAGCCAAATAAATAAATTTTTAAAAAAACCCACTTATTTGTGACTTTGGTTATGACATAGGCACGCAGCTTAAAGTTAAAGAGGGAGGATGCAAAGCCTAAAGAGGGACAGGACTTGTTTGAGGTCACACAGCAAGTCACAGACTGACGATAGGGACTTGGCTGTCCTGGTTTCATTCCTTCTATTCTAACACACTTCTTCGCTGCTCCCAGGAGAGGCCAGCCTCAAAGGTGTGGGTGCACCTGAATCAAGATTGCCTTCTGTGATTGTGCCCCCTCACCTTTTCCTCCTCTGTCCCCAGGTGTGCCACAGATCACAATATGGACAACACCACAGAGATGCTGCAGGAGTGGCTGGCAGCTGTGGGCAGTGACTATGCAGCTGTGTTCTGGAGGCCTGAGGGGGAGTCCAGGTTGTGATCTGAGGGATGGATACTGGGGAAGATGGGAAACAGTCGCATCCCAGAGACAAGAAGAGGGAGCCTAGAGCCACAGCCTTCAGGAAAGGGCTGCACTGCAGAGAGGGAGAGGCATAGTAACTACCCATGGGAACAGCTCATCTCTTTACTCCCTTAGGTCCTACCCAAGTGAAGAGGGTCCCAAGCACTGGACCAAAGAAAGGCACCAGTTTCTGATGGAATTGAAGCAGGAAGCCCTGACTTTTGCCAGGAATTGGGGGGCTGACTATGTCCTGGTAAAGAATCCTGGCTTGGATTGGGCTTCTGTGGTGTCTGTCCCTGATATAAATCTTGATGTGACTTGATCATCAGGCTGAACCCAGGGCCTTGTGCATGTGAAGCAGGCACTCTACCAACTGAGCTCTATCCCCAGCCCCATCAAGCTGAATCTTTCAGAGCCAGATCAGATGTTGAGCTGGAATCCTGTGTTTGATCTCAGACTGGGTAGTAAACCAGGATCCCAGAGACAGATCCTAAAATATTTACTGAGCCTAGATTCCTAGATAAGTGTCCAGAGTATAAACTGAGCCTGGATCCCTGCATTAGAGCTCAGAGTCAGTCTTTGGATCCACTCCAGGTCTCAGATAAGGTTTCTAGATAAACTACTCTGTTCTGCTCTCTGGGTCTGGTCTCTAAGCCGGAGTCCTAGACTAGATCCTGGTTCAGAAACACATCTATTGGGTTTATTGGTTAGGACTCTATAAGGAAATGCCCACTGGATCCTAGCAGCTGTTCCGGGTCTCTGGCAATCTGGAGGGATTCTTGCTTCATGAGCTCTTTGGGGGGTCTGCTGCCCAGACAGGCCTTGGGCCTCTGACATCCCCCTCCCCAAAGTTTGCAGACACAGATAACATTCTGACCAACAACCAGACGTTGAGGCTTTTGGTGGAGAAGGGGCTGCCAGTGGTGGCCCCAATGCTGGACTCCCAGACCTACTACTCCAACTTCTGGTGTGGGATCACCCCCCAGGTGAGGGTGGGGCTGGGATGTCAGGAGGCTGAGGTCCTGGGAGGAGGGGCATAAAGAGCAGAGAGCCTGGAGGCCCTGGGGTCTGTGGGCTGAGGCAGGGGAGTTGCTCATAGCTGAGAGCATCCCCCTTCCCCAGGGCTACTACCGCCGCACAGCTGAATACTTCCCCACCAAGAACCGCCAGCGCCGGGGCTGCTTCCGGGTCCCCATGGTCCACTCTACCTTCCTGCTGTCCCTGCGGGCTGAGGGGACATCTCAGTTCGCCTTCTACCCACCTCATCCCAACTACACTTGGCCCTTCGATGACATCATCGTCTTCGCCTATGCCTGTCAGGCCGCTGGTGAGGACTAGCCCTCCTTGAGCATTTCTTGGAGGCCCCTGAGCGTTTGCACATGCTGCTCCTTCTGCCTGGCATGCCCTTGCCTGCTCTGCATTTCTTCTTGTCAACTCCTGTCTGGCCTTTGGGTCAGAGCATTTCTTGAGTCTACTGCCTTTCTGGCTGCCACCGTTGTGGCACTTTCGTGTATTCCTTCACTAGGCAGATATTTATGGAGCACCTGCCATGTTTGAGGCAGTGGGGAAAGAGTGGTGAGTAGATTCAGGCAGTCCTTGCCCTCCCGGAGCTTCCAGTTCAGTCAATCAAAAGACCACACGAATCAGTGTTCAATCACAACCACGACAGGAAGGGGAGCTGTGTGTGTGTGGTGCTGGGGCTCGAGCCCAGGGCCTCACGTATGCTAGGCAAGCGCTCTGTTACTGCGCTACATCTCTAGTCTGTGAACTCGTGATCATAGATACTCTGGAGGGTTAGACTAGAGCTTCCTGGTCAAGGAAGTCTTCCTGGAGGGAGTGAACTTCTGGTCTGTGATCTAAAATCTGAGCAGGCAGACACGCGTGGTGCATGCCTATCATCCCAGCAACTCAGGAGACTGAGTCAGGAGGGTCACAAGATGGAGGCCAGCCTCAGCAACTTAGTGAGAACCTGTCACACAGTAAAATAAAAAGGTCTCAGTGTGTAAAGCTCTGGACACTGGGGCAACCCTGAGGGGCTGTACCACTGAGCCACATCCCCAGCATCCCCAGCCCTTTTTATTTTTTTGAGATGGGGTCTTGCCAAGTTGCTTAGGGCCTCTCGAAGTTGTTGAGGCTTGCTTCAAACTTGTGATCCTCCTGCCTCAGCCTCCCGAGTTGCTGGGATGCCAGGCATGCGCCACCGTACCTGGTTCTGTTAGTTTCTCGTTGCTACTACTACTTCGATGAGCAGCCACTATTAATTGGTCAGCGTGTGAAGGAATCTGGCGGAAAGTGGTTTTATCTCCATCACTCAGGCTTCTACATGTGCTGTTGTGCCCTTGCTCTGATCAGGGTCTGTGTGCAGTGCTGGGCATGGGTTAGCTTTAAAACAGACACTGAGTGCCTTAATAATTAATAAAGGTGACAGTTTTGTGTATGTGATCCTGGAACTGAACCTTGGGCCTTGTACATGCCAGGCAAGTACTCTACCATTGGGCTACATCCCCAGCTTGAAGGTGACAGATATTGAAGGGGAAAAAAGGTCACTGTGGCTCTCAGGTAGAAGACAGTGTGAAGGGGCAGTGGGGGTGGGGAGAGTTGGGAGTTCAGGGGTGTAGCCACAGGACTTGCTGCCATCCCTCAGCTAGGGTCCTGCTCCTTCCTCACCTGACTCCCTGAGGGCAGGCACCCCATATGTCTAGCTCAACACCACAGCCCCAGTGCCTTGCAGGTGTCCTAGACAGGTCTGTTCAGTAAGCCACCATCTGCTGTTGTGTGTCCCACAGGTGGGGAGCTGAGTCCCAAAGAAGACTCACACACTGGGTTCCTGGCAGGTACTGCGCCGGGGGCCTCTGCTGGGTCCTGCAAGCCCTAGCTCAGTTCTGGCACTCCTTGACCTCTCTCTACAGGGGTCTCCGTCCATGTGTGCAATGAGCAACGTTATGGATACATGAACGTGGGGGTGAAGTCCCACCAGACCCTGGAGGATGAGAAGGTCAATTTCATCCACCTGATCTTAGAAGCACTGGGTGAGGGCTGGGAGCCTGCCCCGCCCACCTGCTGGCTGGTCCCCTGCCTCCCCTTGCTGACCCTTTCCTAGGCCCCAGACTCAAGTCCGCTGGGCTTGGGATTCTAGCCTTTCCCCTAACTTGTTCCGTGATGCTGAGCAAGCCCCTTCTGTGGGCCTTTCTTCCTGTCTGCTATGGGGCGGGCAGATCTGTCATCCCAGCCTTTTCTGCCCAGTCTTCTGCTGAGGGGGCAGGAATGAGGCTGGGGGCGAGGACTGCAGGCTGGCTGTCCCCAGAAGTTGGTGAGCTCATGATTAGGGTGTGCTTCCCTTTGCAGTGGATGGGCCTCCCATGCAGGCCTCAGCTCACGTATCTCGACCTCCGAAGAGGCCCAGCAAGATGGGTTTTGATGAGGTATATCTCCCAACCTGTGGAACTGGGGACAGGGGGTGGTGGTCTCTCCCCTCCCCCTGGCCCCACCCCTCTGTCTCCTCCAGATCTTTGTCATCAGCCTGGCCCGTAGGCCCGACCGCCGAGAGCGCATGCTGAGCTCGCTCTGGGAGATGGAGATCTCTGGGCGGGTAGTGGACGCTGTGGATGGCAGGTGAGGCTTCCTGTGGATGGGGTCCAAGGGGACAGCCTAGTCCATCTCTGAGCTCCTGGGAGTGGGTAAAGCAGAAGAGTTGAATTAGTTGCCTGTTCCAGGAAGCATCCAAATAGGGCCTGAAGAATAGGTCTTAGGGAATTCCAGGGCAGACAGATGCAGGACAGGACACCCTCGCTCAGCCCACTAGAGGGAGGAGGTAGAGTGGCTAAGGCTCCAGACCTGGGTTCTGCACTGCCACTTTCCAGCTTTGTGACCTTGGGCAAGTTGCCCCCATCTCTCTGCCCTGTTCTGTAAATGGCAAATAATCCTGCCTGGCTCTTCCTGTTTTGCAAGGGTCCAGTGAAGATTCAGCCAGAGCTCAACACCTCTTAGTGCTGTAAAGGGTCAAGTGTCCTTGATACCACTCCTCTCCATCCTGGACTTAAGTCCCTGATGGGTGGGGGTGGGTGCATCCCAGCCATATTCCTTGGGGAATGCCAAGGCCAGGTTTCTCCAGCCAACCGGGCCTTGTGGCCCGTATGCCCGTCACAGTTTGAGCCCTCCCTGTGTGCTCGGATGGAACGCAGGCTCTTGTGCATACTAGGACAATGCTTTAGCATTGAGCCATGTGCCCAGCCCACCCCCAGCGCTTTTGCTTGTAGGATGTCCATCCTTTGCTTGGTCATCTGCCCGAGAAGTAGCTACCACGGTGCCCATGTTCACCTTGGGGGGCTTCCCCCCAGGCAGCCCCCTCTGTGGAGCTCAGGACCTCCTGAGGTGATGCTGGTTCCCTCCAGTCACTGACAGCTTTAGACCACAGAAAGGAATTACAGGGCTTAAACCTCCTTTGAACTAGACTCTGTTGTGACTGTCACCAACATGAGGCCCTCTGGAGGAGTCTCTGGCTGGCACCTGTCATTCCATTACACCTGTGTCCTGCAGGATGCTCAATAGCAGTATCCTCAGGAGCCTTGGCGTGGACCTGCTTCCTGGCTACCAGGACCCCTACTCGGGTCGCACACTGACCAAGGGTGAGGTGGGCTGCTTCCTCAGCCACTACTCCATCTGGAAAGAGGTGAGGATACCTGCCTTCTGGGCCACGCCCTTCAGGGACATCAGGGGCTGGCTTGTCCTAGACATGATTGTTTTCCCAGCACTCAGGTGTGCAGGTAAATGAGTGAACGAATGCATCCACAAAGCATCTCTAGGACTCCTCTGTGTCCACAGAGGGTGCCCTGGTTCACTCCACAGTCTCTACTGACCATATGCTGGGTGCTAGCAGATATTCTGTCGAGGAACACACAGAACAGGAAGAAGGCACATCTGTCTCCTTCCTGCCAGGGGGGGATCTGCCTGGGGCTCAGGGACCAGAGATGGGCACAGAACTCAAGAAAGAACCAAACTCCCAGGGGAGAGAAGCGCAGGCTGTCCCCACAGTGCAGTGGCCCTGTCTGCTGCCCAGGTTGCCATGTGGGCCTCACCGTGGAGAGTCAGGCAGAGTGAAACTGTGGCAAAGGCGCAGAGAAAGCAAGGGCTTTTCAGGAACAGAGACAGGAAGCCTGAGGCGTGGCCTTGCTCATCCCTTGGCCCAGAGGCCTCAGCCAGGGGCCAGGGGGCTGGGCCTCCAATCTCCAGCAATGGTGTGCAGATTCAGTCGTTGTTTTTATTTTCATTTGTTTTGATTTTATAGTGCTGGGAATTGAACCCAGGGCACTCTACCACTGAGCTACGTCCCAGACATTTTTGTTCTTTCTTCTTTATCTTTGAGTCAGAGTCTCACTAACTTGCTGAGGCAAACTTTCAATCCTCCTGCCTCAGCCTCATGAGTAGCTAGCATTTAAGGTGTGCACCATGGCACCCAACTTCTTGTTTTATTTTCTTCTATAGCCACAATATGTATGTATGTGTGTGACCTCATGTTTACATTTATGGTTGATTTTTACCATCTGAACAAATTGAAGGATGACATGGTTCATCATTTACTGAGCTGATTTCATGTTCTTTTCACATTTCCAAAGTTACAGAAAGTATTTTTTCTTTGCAATGTTGGGGGCTGGGGTCTCCCCTCACCCCCACCCAGCCCAGCGTCCTTCCAGAAGCTCAGGAGGCTGAAGAGATGAGCCAAGTCCTGGAGCCCAGCAGTTGCAGGTCTGCTGTGTGCCCTTGGCTGGGCAGTCTCACCTCCTTCCTGTCATGGGGGGTCACATTCCCGCCTCCTGGGTATCCCTGGAGGTGAATGGTAGCACTAGCCCCAGGGATAGAGCAGAGCTCAGTGACCACAGCAAGGGTGGTAATTGCCAAATACTTCTTTTTGGCAAACTAGGCTGGGGATCTTGGGGAGGGCCTGAATTTCATTTCCTAGGCAGTGGCAGCCCCGGTGGGCTTGGGAGTCACTGTGTGAGCCTTGGGATGTAGCTAAGGAAGGCAGATGGGAAGTGGGTAGCTCAAATCTGCAGAGCCATCTCCCTATCCCCACCATGTACCACAGGTAGTGGCCAGGGGTTTGGCCCGGGTGCTGGTATTTGAGGACGACGTGCGCTTTCAGAGCAACTTCCAGGGGCGACTGAAGCAGCTGATGGAGGAGGTGGAGGCCCGGAAGCTTCCATGGGACCTCATGTAGGCAGCCTGCACCCCAGGGGGAAGGGAGAGGGCTGGCTACTTCCTGCTTGGAGTCCTGGCCACTTCCTACCTCTGAACCTGGCTGAGAGGGGACTTGACACCCCAGGACCTACAGTGGCTTCTGGGGCCCTTGATTCACTTGCAGCTACCTTGGCCGAAAGCAGGTGAACCCTGAGGAGGAGGTGGCTGTGGAGGGGCTACCAGGCCTGGTGGTGGCAGGGTACTCCTACTGGACACTGGCATACACTCTGAGTCTGGCAGGCGCCCGCAAGCTGCTGGCCTCCCAGCCTCTACACCGCATGCTGCCTGTGGACGAGTTCCTGCCCATCATGTTTGACCAGCACCCCAAGTGAGGCTTTGTTGGGGCTGGGCAGGGCAGGGGTGTCCCATCCAGGAGCCTATCTCAATAAGTTCCCTCGCTGGGCAGCTGGGGAGGTGGAGCCTGATCAGGCCCAGGTCACCCAAGAGTGACCAGTGGTCAGACCCAGCTGCATGTGAATGCTTTGCTGCCCTCATGTTTTGTTTTTTTTTTTTAGTTGTAGGTGGACACAATACGTTTATTTTGTTTGTTTCTATTTTTATGCGGTGCCGGGGATCAAACCCAGCGCCTCATGCATACTAGGCAAGCGCTCTATTACTGAGCCACGACCCAGGCCCCCACCCTCATGGTTTTAATCAAATGGCTTCCCCATTATGAGCCTCAGTTTCCTTATATGGAAAATGGGAATAATAGAAGTCCTACTTCTCAGGGCTGTTGTAAGGACCAGTGGGGAGGGCGGTGAGGGGAGGGGAGGCACCAGGCTCCTAGCTGGTATGGGGTCTGGGATCAGGGGCCCACCTTGGCCCACCTGAACTGTCTTCCTGTTTCACAGTGAGCAGTACAAGGCACACTTCTGGCCAAGGGACCTGCAGGCCTTCTCTGCCCAGCCCCTGCTCGCTGCCCCCACCCACTATGCAGGGGATGCTGAGTGGCTCAGTGACACAGAGACATCCTCTCCTTGGGACGATGACAGCGGCCGCCTCATCAGCTGGACTGGCTCTCAAAAGACCCTGCGTGGCCCTGTCCTGGCTGGCAGCAGTGGGCACAGCCTCCATCCCCAGCCCCGGGATGAGCTCTAGGTGAGGCCCTGCTTACTGGGCTGAGTCTGGACCTGTTTCCACCTCCTCGGCCATCTTCTCTTGTTCTATCACTGGCTTTGTCTTTGTCTCATTGTGTCTTTGACTCGCTCTTGCTCTGGCTGTTCTCTGTACCTGTTGGTGTTTGTCTCTCTCAGTTTGCATCTGACTCCAGTTCTCTCTGTTTTTCTGTTCCTGCTTCTTCCACCTCTGTCCCATCAGGTCCAAACAGTGACTCCAAAGGAGTGCATAGGAGCAGAGGATATTGCTGGCAGGAGCTGCGCCCAGAAGCCACAAAGCCAGAGAGATCTGGCTGTCGCCTTAGACTTGGCCACTCTGCCTCTGGACCAGTCTAGGTTGGGAGAAACCACTCAGAACTGGATCCCGTTTCCCAGAGGTCGCTTAGCAAAAGGGTAGGATTCAAAGACTCCTGACCCTGCTGGGCCTGGTTCATAGCCCCAGGTAGAGGGACAGAGGGGGCTTCTCAGCTCTCAGTTTCATGTTGGGCAGACTCCTGGATCCCTCCCTCCCTAAGGACTCAGCCACTGGTCTCTTCTGTCCCTTCTACCTCCACATCAACAGCCTCCCCTGCTCAACGCCTGGGTCTCACCAGAACCTTCTTTCCTGGCAATGGGAAGTTCAGGGAGGTGGAAGTGGGAGGTAGAGCCCTGCAGACCTGGTGTTAAGCACAGAGTAACCTCAATAAAAGCCAGATGTATTTGCACTTTATACTTTTTAACAAATGGCCAAGCCTCTGCGTCTCTGCTGGCCTGGGAGGGAGGCTTTCCCTATCTAGAGATGAGGAACAGAGGGGAGGGCAGCCAGAGGAGGAGTCAGGCTAGGCTGGCGTCACCTCCTTGCTGTGTGTTCTTGGGCAAGGGCCACCCCATCTTGGCCTTTCTCCCATCCCCAGTGGACTGAGGGTGGGAAGGAAGAAGCTCGTGGGCTGGGTGGTGTAAAATGCTGGGCAGTGAGTGCTCACTTGATGGAGCCATCGTGGTGGTCACTGATATCATCACCATCCTTGCCTTGCTGTTGGTCAAGGAGGCCCAGGCCAGACCCGGAGCTGCTGATTCCAGCTGCTCCCTGACCACTCCTATCTTTGGAGCTCAGAGGAGGTCCAAGTTTCACCTCTGGCCCTAACCAGTGGTGCCACAAGAGGGCGCCAGATTCTAGGCCCTGGACCATCTGGGCCAGGGTGCCCTCTGCTCCTGTGAGTTTGAAACCCGGAATGGAGGGCGGGGCATTTGGAACCTGCCCCTATGCAGGGTCATCCCCAGCAGCAACTGCTTGGAAAATGTGCCTTCCTTCCCTCCCATCTGCATAAGCATAGGGCTGGGCCTGGGCCTGTCTCCCATGCCTGCAGTTGAGTCAGAGCAGGAGGGAGAAGTCCCTTTGCCTAAGGTAGCTAGCTGCCTTGGCCTCTACCAGGACAGGATCAATGCCCTGGTGTCTTCAGGCTCCCTTCTTCAGAGAAGCCCCTTCCTTACCCCTCTCCATGGCGGACCCACTGGGTGGTGTGAGCACCCCTGTCCCGGCAAAGTCTAGCAGACACCTCTATGGTTGGACTGTCCCTGGGCTCTGTCCTGTGGTGGGGATCAAGGACTTGGCATGACTGTGAGAAGGGCTTTAGGCCAAAGCTGGGGGCTTGGTGCTTTATTTCTTCCCAAAAGGAAAGTCATTAATCCTGAATGGCTATGACCTTGGGCAAGTCCCTTCTTCTGGTATTCCCTTCATTCAGTGAGCCAGGACCAGGCACTGGGGGTTATAGCAGTAAAAGACACTTCAAAAGTGGACTGGGGAGTGGGGGGCCGGCTCTGTGGTAGAGCACTTGCTTGCACAAGGCCCTGGGTTCAGTCCCAGCACCTTAAAACAAAAACAGACAAAACACCCCATACCTCGTGGAGCTGCCATCCCAGCAAGGGGGACAGACAACCAGTAAGGAAATTAATTAGAGGCTCTTGGTGCTACAGAGGAGAAGGAGGAGCGAATAGGTAAGTGAACGGGCAAGCCACGTGGAGGTCTGAAGGAAGGTAGAACAGGCCAGGGGACAGGTCTGCAAAGGTCCGGAGCAGGGAAGGACTGCAGCCTGAAAGACAACGAAGAGGCCATTGTGGCTGGAGCACAATGGGAAGAGGAGCCAAGGTCAGAACAGGCAGGGCCTTGATGCCAGGTTGGCTTTACTCTGAGATGGAGCCACTGGAGTTGAGGAAAGAGAAGCCACCTGACCTAACTAACTTAGATCAGCATGTCCGACACAGTTTCACCCCAGCACCCAGGCTGCCGTCCTGAGAGGGGACTGTGGGTGGATCCAGAGTGGAACCAGGGGGACCCATGAGGAACCAGGTGTAATAATTCATGTGAGACTCAAGGTGCCTCAGACCAGGTGGTAGCCATGGAGGTGCTAGGGGGTAGAGCAACAGAGTTCCAAGAGGAGGGAACTGCTGAGGGTGACCCTGGGGATTTGACTGAAGAATGGAATTTCCATTGACTGAAATGAGAAAGCACATGGATGGGACTGGTTGGGGACGGATCAAAAGCTCAGGTGCCTAAATTGGAGATCTAGGTGGAGATGTCAAGTAGTAGTTCTCTCTTCTTTTTTTTTAAGCCTTTATTTTATTCATTTATTTATGTGCAGTGCTGAGAATTGAACCCAGTACCTCACACATGCTAGGCAAATGCTCTACCACTGAGCCACCACACCCCAGCCACCTCAACTTGTGATGTTCTTAACAGCCTCCCGAGTACCTCGGATTCTTAAATAAAGTATAAAAAAGGGCTTGGGATGTGACTCAGTAGTTGAGCAACCATGGGTTCAATTCTCATACCAAAAAAAAAAAAAAAAGATGAATTTGACAGGTCATATACTATGTAATCCCATACATATGAGGGATTAGGGATCTTCCTAACAGCCTCCCAAGTACCAGGCATGTACCACTGTGCCTGGCTCCTGTTTGAATTTTTTTTTTCCTTTTTTGTACTAGGGGAACTTAATTACTAAGCCACATCCCTAGCTTCCCCACCACCTTTTTTTTTTTTAATCCCTAGCCCTTTTTATGTTTTATTTTGAGACTTGGTCTCCCTAAGTTACTTAGGGCTTCACTAAATTGCTGAGGCTAGCTTTGAATTTGTGATCCTCCTGTTTCAGCCTCCCTGGCTTCTGGGATTACAGGAATACACTACCATACCTGGATGGAAATCTTTTAAAACCTATTTAGCTGGATATGGTGGCACACGCCTGTAATCCCAGTGATTTAGGAGACTGAGGTAGGAGGATTGCAAGTTCAAGGACATCCTCAGCAAATTAGTGAAGCTCTAAACAACTTAGACTGTCTCAAATAAAAAGGGCTGGGAATACAGCTCAGTGGTGCCCCTGGGTTCAATCTCCAATAAAAAACCTATTTAGATGATGGTTTTTCTAAAAAATCTGCTCCCTCATATCTGCAAGAGTAAGTAGCACACTCTCTTGTAAACTCAATATTGTAAGCACCCTGGTGCTCTTTGTCTACTGAGGTATAAGGACCATCTGTCCCTTTACTAAGTGACCACAAACCACTGAGCTTTCTAAGTTCCTTAATCATTTTTAAAGTTATTTTGCTTCTTCCCTCTCTCTGAAGTTGCCAGGATGAAGAACATAGATTCTGGGGCTGGGGATGTAGCTCAGTGGTAGAGCACTCACCTAGCATGAGCAAGGCCCTGAGTTTCATCCCCAGCACCACAAACAAAACTAAACTCTAGAGTGGGAGTCTACATGGTTAAAGTTCTACCATCTCATGTGACCTGTGTGACCTTGGGATGTTACCTAGCTTCTCTGAACTTTCATTTTCCCGTGTGAAAATGGGGACATGCTGCCTTTCAGTGGGACGTAATGCATGGTGATTGTTATTTTATCATTTGGTTGTCTGGGGATTATCCCAGAGCCATGAGTGATGATGATTTCTGCTGCAGAGGGCCAAGAAGCATAACTTGAACTGGTTTAACCAATAAAGACATGTGCATAAGTTTCCCCCAAAGATCCATAGATTAAAGACATGTTTCCTACCCTGTAGCACTATTGTGAGGTGGTAGAACCTTTAAGAGATGAAGCCTAGGGGCTGGGGCTATAGCTCAGTGGCAGAACTCTTGTCTAGCATGTGTGAAGCACTGGGTTCCATCCTTAGAACCACATAAAAATAAATAAATAACATGATGGCATTCTGTCCATCTTCACTACCAAAAAATAAATAGGGGCTGGGGTTGTGGCTCAGTGGTAGAATGTTCGCCTTGTACATGCGAGACCCTGGGTTTGATCCTCAGCGCCACATACAAATAAATGAATAAAATAAAGGAATCCAAAAAAAAAAAAAAAAGCTTTAAAAATAAATAAATAAATAAAAAATTTAAAAAAGAGATGGAACCTAGTGGGAGGTTTTCTTGTCATTGGGGACATGCCCTTGAAGAAGATATAGGGAGCCCAGCCCCTTCCTGTCTCTCCCTTTCATAGTTTGGCCATGAGATGACCAATTTTGCTAAAGCACTACTGCCATGAGAAACTGTCTCACCACACACCCAAAGCAACAAGACTAATATGATCGTGGAATGAGACCTCTGAAACCCTGAGTCAAAATATTCTCTCCATTTTTTTTTCTTGATAATGCTAAGGATGGAAACTAGGACCTTGCATATACCAGACAAGTGCCCTACCACTGAGCTACAAACCCAGCTTTTTAAATTGATTATCTCAGGTACTTTGTTATAGCAATAGAAGGCTGTCTAACACAACATGTATTGTCTAACCTAACTAAGTGTCCATAAGTGAAGTGAACTTTGAGTTTGGTTTAATCTCTGCTTCTTTTTTATCTTTTGGGCCCGTGTATTGGTTTATTCTCAGGTTGGTGGCAAAATGGCTGCTGCCATTCCCAGTGTTCTATCCTAGACCAGAAATACATCCAGTGGAAAGAAGAAGTTTACTTCTAGAGGCTCTCCCGGAAAGAACCCTGGCGTACCTCCCCACATTGGCCCAAGTTGACTCACATGCCCATTGCTGAATTAACTGTTGATGATCGCAGGCAGAGGGTAGGATTTTCCTCAGGCAACTAGACTCATCCTCAGGGCCTGAGTTGGCCTGCATGAAGCAGGGTCTGAGGTCACATCCATGTTCCTGTGGGCAGTGAGCATGTGGTACTGATGAGCTGGCATGGTCAAGGTGGTATTCCACACCCTGGATGTCTACTTAAGCAGTCCTGCAGGGATCACCACTGCCTATCCTGGACAGAGGACCTTGAACCTCTTGTTGCAAAGGTTCTGGTCCCATGAGCCCCAAGGCAGCCCCTGCAACCCCAAGTGAAGCTGGTCCATGGAGGAGGAGGAGACTGTTGTGCGTCATCTCCTCCAAATGGTTCCACAGATTCATTTTCCCAAAGTCCTGATAGCCCTATCTGTTTATAGCTCACCTGTCCTTTTATTTTTTCAGTACTAGGGATTGAACCTTAAAGTGCTCTTCCACTGAAAAACATCCCAGCCCTTTTAAAATTGAGACAGGGTCTTGCTAAGTTGCCCAGGCTCACTTTGAACTTGTGATCCTCCTGCCTCAGCCTTTTGGATTGCTGATATTACAAGTGTGAGCCACCATGTCCATCTGCATCTTGACAGCTTTAACCACGCATGAATGTTCTGCAAATTAGTGCTTTAGCCTTATTTTGAAATACTGACATGGAGAAGTTGACATTCAATTAAAAATCCACTTGTAA